AAGAGAAGGAAAGCGGCGAAACCAGAGAGAAAGTATCGAGTTTGGGGAAACGGGTGTGTCTGTTGTAGAATTTTCTCGTCGAGTTTCTGTTTGTTTCTGGGGAAAATGAGGGGAAAGAGGAGGAGGGTGGTGGTGAAACCAGAGGGAAAGTATCGAGCTCGGGGAAACGGGTGTCTCTGTTTTAGAATTTTCTCGTCGAGTTTTCTGTTTGTTTCCCGAGAAAAGGTGACCTGAACGCAAAGTAAACGGGAGAGATGATTTGATTGACAGAGTCAGCGGAGCTACCATGTTTCTGCAACTACTGCTTCAACAAAAGTCTCTTAATTTTTCCTTTTTTTTTTATTTTTTTTAAGCCCAAGAAATCAGTCGTCTAGTTGAAGATTAACCAAATTATTTGTTTTAATATGAAGTTTTCTTTTTAAAAAAATAATAATAATAATAATTAAATGTTGCTTGGAATGTAAGGCAAACGTGACATCCTATCATTTCGTTTTCCATTTCAAGCTCCAAAATCAAATCTTTAAGCTTAATCAAGTGGAGAACCTAAACCTTTAAGCTTATTTCAAACGTATACATATATACATATATATATATGTGTGTGTGTATATATAAAGGAGTCTATATTTGTCGTGTGTGATCTTACATATTACTTTTTGGAAATGAAATAAAATCTGGGTTTTAAGGATGGATAATATATATTCAAAGCTTGACCTTTGAATCTTCAAAGTCATTAGAGAATGCCATAAGGGCTAAGGTAGAAATAGAATCATCTCAAATTCCGATGTTCCATCACTATTTAAAATGAAATAAATATTTTTTTTAATTATTGCACTAGTGTTGATTATTATTATTATTATTATTATTATTATTATTATTATTACCAAATTGTATATAAATGGACACCAAATCCATGATATCTTGCATTACGTTTTATTAAGGGCAAGTTGTCATGTGCATACAAACTAAAACTAATATTCTAACAAGTTTCGTATGAATATTGAGTATTTGTAATAAATCATTTACTCAATGTACTAATAATTGAAAAAAAAAAAAAGGCAAATGAATCTGTTATAAAAACCCAATGGTTATAATATTTTTAAAAACAAAAAACCAAATATGAACCAAACAAAAAAATAAGCATTTCACCGAACCAATCCGATCTTTTTAAACTCCAATTTTCCAACATCGAAAACGCTGAACCCAAATAAAACCGAATTAAACCGAACTAATAACGGAGATATGTCCACATTTAGAGGTGGCTTGTTTGGTCAATAATAACCGAACCGATCTAAATTGAATAACATATAAACATAACTGAACTGAATAAAAATTAACCGAAAATCCAAAAAATTTTATCAATAAAAATCAAATCCGAACTGAACCTAAACCCAAATAGAACACAACCAAACCGAATTGAATTCAACATAAAAACCCAATGATTATAATTTTTTTAATAACCGAACCGAAACCCGAACAAGCCACCCCTAGCCACCAGTGACAAAAAAAAACCCCCGAGAAATACTCTCATAACAAAAAGTATTAAGGCAAAAAATCAAAATCAAAAGAGCCAATTAACACTAATGTTACCAAGCCAGATCAAGAGAGGGAACTGAGCCAAAGCCAGAACGAGGAGGAGGTAATGGTGCCTGCTCGAGTCATAGCTCCTGACCTCAGCAAACAGCACTCTCTTCATCGTCTTCACCAAGAAAATCCCAGAACATAAGCACGTCCATGGCAGCAACCCATAGTAAGAGTATCCCCATATTATCCTCCCTGCAACGGCTATACACAGCCCTGTGTATGTATATCCGGCATACGCCACTATGTCCAGAATGGGCGCTTCTCCACTACCCAACAACAACAACATCACTTTCATCATCATTGCTTGTAACATCCACCCGACCAGTCCTTTGGCAAACACCCAGTTCAGAGCTTCAGGAGAAAATCTGTTAAAAAACATGGAACAGGACAGGACAGAGGTTCTATTGAATTGGGCATGGAGTGAACCGACAATTCTAACACGAACAAATGGAAAAAAAGGAACTTACTTTCCGTTGAGTCCCAATGACAGGCCGGCAAGAACAACATAGGTGCCGAATGCCATTAAGGGGATGTATAAGTCGGGAGCGTTTATATCGTATATCGGTGGCTTGTATGAGAGCCGACCCCCGACTGGTTCTGATATTCGAGTCCAATGCCCCTGAGGATGAAACCAAAAACCCCGCACGCTAATTACCGAGCTGGTATTTGAAGGACCCAAAGAGGATTTAACATGAGAAAAAGGATACTTAACTTACTTACCCTGTGCAGGAATGGAAACAGAACCAACTTCAGTTTGTTCCTCACGTACTGATCGTTCACTTGAAAGTAGTATTGCCGATCAGATAACAATCCGCTTATCTGCCGATTCCAAAACCGGTTAACCTTCGAACGGAAACCAGCCATTACAAGCATAATGTGACAAGATAACTGGAGAGAAACCCGAATCACTTACGTTGCTCTGGACATACTCGGAGCTAGAGCCGAGAATTTTCTCCCCGTATGCCCCTAAGCCACTTCGGATAAGCCCCGAGCCAGGTCCATAAAACGCATTGCCAAATGGGTTCGGCTTAGGGTTTCCCGAAGGTATCGGCATCCCGGGCTGAGGTCCGACATTGTTGTACATCCCTCTGCCATTGAACAAAGCCAATTGTAAATGCTTTCTCTCACATTTCAATCTTAATTCTTCTCAAGAACTATGAGTTTCTTCTACATTAACTTAGATTTTATCGATTGATCAATTTGTCTTTCTTAGATACACAACCAAATCCGTATCTATAAGGGACTAATTAAAGAACTGATATTGGAAAAATCCTAATTCCCCGACTCTCACGACGCAAATCGACAATCATCTTTAGACATCGACAAAAGACAATCAGATCATCCAGCGCGCAACATTTCAAGTCTCCCAAATTCAAAAAATAATACAATCTTAACCAAATAGGCCGAGAGATACTGAAATGGAGCAGAAATTCCGAGATCCGATCAATCATCCAGAACCAGAAAACCCAAACAAAATGCGAAAATGTTAATTTATGGTGTAAAGAAAGCGGGAAAAACACTTACCTGCAGCTTCGATGATGCAATTGACAGCTAGTGATACAAAATTAGGGTTCTTCCGCGAGAGAGACAAACACGGATCAGAACGCCGAGCGCGAATTCGTCAAGTTAACGTGTACGGTGTTTCTGGGTTCTTAAGAACCAAGCTTCCCTCTATATTTTGTATTTATAAATTCACCCCCTTTCTTTATTTTTGTTTCCAATTGTGCCCTTTTTATCTAATCGATAGTTCTGACCCTGATGGGAAACTATCTATCCATAAAGCCATAATAAGATTGAGAAAATAGAGGGAAAAAAGAGATATTTTTTATGCTATTTTTGAAGATTGAATTTTGTACAAGTGATGGATCAATGATCTCTGGACGATTAAATTGAAAATTTAATGAATTTAATCAATTGATCATTTCATGCTAGTGTGGGATTTTGTATTGATTAATTGTAATCATTCTTTATTTCATCAAATATTCGATTTAAATATCCTTGAAATTAGGGTGGGCGTTTCGATTCGGTTCGTACCGAATCAAAATTTCGGTATTTTTTCCGAACCGCATGATTTTTATAGAACCAAATTTTTCGAAACCGAAACGAACTTTATAAAATTCCCAAAAAACTAACATTTTTTTTTTAAATCTAGATTTTTTAATAAAAACCGAAATCGAACCGTACCGAACCGAATAATAAATGGTACTAATTTAGTACAAATTTTAGATTATTGAATAAACGGTCTTCGAACCGAACCCTTAAAATTTCGTCTCGAATCACGAAATGTCCATCTGTACTTGAAATAAGTGAAATTAATTTATGGTATTTTAGAGGTATGGATTCTTTTCAATGGGATTTATTTCATATGTATGACCGTAAATTCAATCATTGGTCCATCGAAACATATGAATCCGTAATAATTTTTTGTACATATGTAAATAAATTTTGAATGATGACCAAAATAAATGTGTAAAATATTTTGATATGATTTTTTTTATATATAAACAACCTTATATGAATTTATCTGCAAGAAATTTTCGTATATATGCAAACATTTTATCCAAGTCTTTTACCGAATTTTTTTTCGAAATTCATACAAATTGGATTTTCATTTTTTAAAATTTGATTTATTTTTTAAAATCGTATATAATTGTGAATTGAAATAGTTATTAAAATGCGAATTATTTAGATTATAAAAAAAAACTTGAATATTTAGATTGTTTATAGTCAACGCTTTAATGTGTTATTAATATATGGAAGCAGTCAATGATTCAGTTCTTATAGATTTTGAAGCTACAGAAATGTCAACGAGAGCGATCGGCTCTCATTTGCCCAAGGCGACCGAACCGTTCCGGTGTAAGGCTCGAGCCATCAGCTCACATGCCGCAGCCATTAGAGACGAGCCATGTCCGTACAAGTCCTTAGAAACCTTCGTCTCGATTCACCGCCTAGCCATTCCTCTGGAGAGCTTCTCTCTGGTCTACGCCCTCCAATCGGCCGCGTCTCTACGTAATCTCTCCCAAATCCGACACATCCATTGCCTTTCTATCAAGCTCGGATTCTCCAAGAATGTCTACGCCGCTACGTCTCTGCTTAATGGGTATGTTACGGTTTCAATGTCGGACGCGTGCAAACTGTTCGACGAATTGTCTGAGAGAAATACGGCTACTTGGAATACGATGATCACTGGCCACTTGAGGAGTGGAAATGTGAGAAGAGCCTCTGAGATGTTCAAGACGATGCCTTACAGGAATGCTGTCTCATGGTCTACGTTTATCTCGGATCATGTCAACAATGGCAGATGGGTTACTGGGTTGGGCATTCTCCGGGATATGATGTTCAGAACTACGCTCAAACCCGATCAAAAAGCGTTGTCGTCTGTCATATTGGGTTGTTCTCGATTGGATCCGGTGGGATTGTTGTTAGGTAGATCGGTTCATGGGTTTATGGTGAAGCATGTGAGGAAGATAAGCGTGAATGCAGGCTCGGCATTAATCGACATGTATGCGAGGTTCGGATTCATGAAGTATGCTATCAAATTTTTTGACTTTATGCAAGAAAAGAACGTGGTGACTTGGACAGCTCTCATCTGTGGCTCGGCCCTACACAGCGACGCCCGAAAAACGCTGGCTTTGTTCGAGGAAATGCAAGTGTCGGGCGTGAGACCGAACGAGCTAACTTTCACGGGCGTTCTTAAGGCGTGTGTAAACTCGGGTTTGGTCCACGAGGGACGGAAGTACTTCAAAATGATGGAAGAGTACGGATTAGAGCCGAAGATTCACCATCTCGGGTGCATGGTCGACTTGTTGGGAAATGCAGGGTTAATAGAGGAAGCTTACGAGGTTATTCAGTCTATGAAACTCGAACCGAACATCGTCATATGGGGTTCGTTCTTGTCAGCGTGTAGAGAGCACAACAAGCTCGAGATGGCCGAGGGAGTGATCGAGCTGGTCCTGAGGAATATGAGCCCTGAGACAGTTGGATCAGGGGTTTACAGTCTGATGTATGATATATATGCCATGAACCAGAAATGGGATGCAGCTGAAAAGGTTAGAGAGTTTATGAATGAGTCCTGTGCGAGGAAAATCAGGGGCTCGAGTTTTATTAGCACTTAGAAGGGCACGGGTCGGATATCCGAAAAGATCGGATATTTGGATTTATATCCGGAACGCTTGTATATCTCATTTTGGAGGGGAGATCAATTAGTTTGGATGGCAGGAGATTTTGAATGCAATTCTTGTAGAAGCTATTGTTAATAATAATATATAATATCGGTCCAAAATTACTTTGGCCAAAACATAAAAATTTTGGGAAAATTTTCACCAAATGGGTAGTATGTGGAAATGTTGGGATCGATTTGAATCTCTTATGTAATTGTTCATTTAAATAACATTTTCTTTTTTTTAAAAAAATTTATTTGAAGTAAAGGTATCTAATAAATTTAATCATTAAAAAATTACTAATTTTAAAAGACAATAGATAATACATGATTAAATAATCCAATGGAAATGTATATTAAAAAAATGAAATAATTTAGTTTTCATTAAATTATATTTCTAACCATAGTATATATAATATTAATTGATAATATATGAATATGTTGTTGGGACCAATTTAAACATTTATATGTATCCTAGAAATTTAAAATAACATGACCCATTGTTACACCCATTTAATTATCCGAATTTCGGTTCGATACGGTTCGGTTATACCGAAACGCCCGCATTTAGAGAAAAATATCTTCCATTACAAATTAAATACACAACCGATCCGTTTAAAGAAGACATATATATATCAAACATTTCGGACTTAAAAACGATACACAAAGAAGAAAATAAAGAATGTGGAAAATCAAGAATCGAATTCTTGAAAATCAACATAAAGTTTTGCATTTTTTTATTTTTAAAAAAAAATCAGTAGGGTCTTGAGTTAGACTTGCTGCAGACCTTCCTGATCTCTCCGGCACGATCTTGGCCGGTAATAACTCCGACATTAACGAGCTTAAACATCGAGACAGCGAACTGCTGTCTGAACATCTGAGACGGCTGCTCGGCCAGAGCTTTCACCAATGGCGCCGTCCTCACGTCCTTGACCAGCTCCTGATCGGTGGTCAATACCCCCATGCGGCTCTGAAGATTCTTGTAGAACTGGTTATCGAATTGCGTGGGCGTCACGGCATCGAGATCGACGTACTCCGACGCCCACCGACACTTTCGCCGCAGGTAATCTCCGAATTTCGGATCCAGCGACGGGTCCGGAGCTCCGGTCGCGTTGAAGTTGTAGAGCCTCGACTGGATCGTTCCGCACGTGGCTTTTCCGATGGTGTGGGCCCCGGACAGGACGACCAGGTCGATGATGTTGAGGCCGTACGACTGGAAGATCTCGAGCAGGGCGGTGACGTCACGGCGGCCGCTCGGCACGCCCTCGGCGTCCCTGGCGTAGGAGACGAGGGAGTCTCTCCGGCCGTAGGCGTTGGACCAGTAGGGCCCACCGAGGACGACGGTGGCGTCGCGGCTGGCGGCGGTGAGGATGTCGGAGCAGGAGACTTTTCCCGGGCATTGTGTCTCGAGCTCGGACTTGATGTCGTCTATGACTTGGAAGCCCTTTAGGGTTAGGCTCGCCGGCGATCTCCTCTCGGTTCCGTCGTAGTCGAGAAGGATCGACGCGTCGCATCCCTGGTTTTATCAATTCGATTCGATCGAAATATTCGATATTAGGGTGCCAATTTGGTTAATACCTGAATATCTAAACCGATACGACCCGAATAATATATAAACTTAACCGGACTGATTCGGTCGAATAAAAAAAATAACCGAAAAAAAACAAAAAATTGTTTGAAAATTAAGTATTTTTTGTCAACAAAAACCAAATTAATTCAATATAGAATCCGAATCGTTATAATTTTTTTAAATCCGAAATAGACCCATTGGCATATTATAACCGAACCGTATACTCGACTCAAACAAACCGAACAAAATAAATATAACCAAAGATTTATAATAAAAAAATATTTGAAAATACGTATATATGTTTATTGATAAGAACTGAACTCAAAACAACTAGAAATGATTTAAACCGAATTCAATATAAAACCCGAACGGTTATAATTTTTCTAAAAATAAAATAACCAAACCGAAACCCGAAATTCTACGTTTAAGTTAAATTATATTCAGGATCTGTAACCCATGCATGGGGTCATATTACATTACAACTATCGTCACTATCACCATATATATAGATATACATGTATCTATATAGTTCTATGACAAACGTTATATTTGAAGAAAAATATAAGAACCATAACATATGATCCAAAACTATTTGTGACCAATTAATTAAAGAGTGTGTATATATATATAATACAAAGTATATATATACCGTGACACCGCAGTCGTGGAAGAGGAGGCGGAGGAGGCCAGGGCCGAGGGAATAGTCGTTCTTGAGCCATTCCCTCACTTTAGTTTCGACGATTTTCTCGAAATTCGGACAACTCTTCCTGTAATAATTGAACGATAAAAGGTTGTCCAAAGGCAACGACGGCTTGCTATCATCTCCTCCTCCGTATTTCCCCGGAATTCCTTTCAATCCGCCGCCGCCGCCGTCGGCCACGGCCAGGCCGAGGCCGAGGAGGAGGAAAAGGGTAGAAACAATCACAGGTTTCATTTTTTTTTTTTGTTAATTAGATTTGGTTTCTGATGTGGGTCGAGGTGTATGTATGTGTGTGTATATATATGTATTAGGGTTTGGAAGAGGAGAGAGGTTTTACGTGGGAAGCACATCGTCATGATCATTCCAATGACTTGCTTGCATGTAGTGGAATTGGATGGTGTCGGATATTATATAATATATGATTATTTTCTTCTTCTTTTTTTTTTTGGTTGGGTATAATGACTAATAAATAAAAGTTTGAATTATTGAAATGTGGAATTTTGACCTTACTTGGTTTGATTTTAAAATTATTTTGGTCGGTTTCGGTACAACGGATGTTTAGTCGTACCGGATACATGTATTTTAACGATTTTAACAAGTATAGACAATTATACTTTGTCTGAATTATATGTGTAGAGAGAGAATAAAATATCCATAATTATATAAAATTCTCTCATAATAAATATATGAAATAGTTTTCTATATAAATATAGTAACTATTTTCAAATTTCTATATATATAATTGTCAATATAATAAAAAAAAATTAAACAACATCAAAATATTTATATTTTAAACAAAGCAACGATTTCCTATATTTTAAAAAACAAAGCAGCGATTAATAAAAATTAAAAATCTATACTTTTTTGAAAAATATATTTTTAAAATTTCGACGAATGTTTAAAATTTTGTATTTTTTTTAGAAATTTTAAATAGTATATATTCATATTGAAAAAAAATATATTTGGAATTGTCCATATATATGCACACTCATGTTTCAGAATATTAATTTTTTTTTATAGACTACTAGACTACTAGATGTTTAGAATACTAATCTTATTGTCTCCTAAAAAAGAATTTCCCGTATATTCTCTCACCATATTTTTTGAATATATATATATATATATATATATATATATATATATATATATATATATATATTTGGACATACAATATAAAACACTAACATTCTAAGTACGGTAATATTTTTTTTTTCAAAATCAACATCAACATCGCTTTACTCCCAAATTTATTTGGAGTCGACCGCATGAATTCTTCGTTTCCACTTATTTTGGTTTTACGTTAGCCCTTTCTCTTCACCTCATTACTATACTCTTCACATTTCTAACCGTCGCATTCATCGGTGTATTTGGGAAGGGGTAAACCTAGGCTTACTTGAGAACGTGTAATTAGGAATGATTTGGAATTGTTACAAATTCCGAAAGAGCTAATGCAAAACTGAAATGAGTGGAAATGAATAATCCATGCGGCGGATCTCAAATAAATTTGGCACTAACGATGTTGATGTTGATGTATATATTTTTTATACACATGGGATGCTCATCCAAATAAAATGAACCGTTAATATAAAATCATTCATTTTATGTTCCGGTCTTTAATACAAATGCAAAAATAAATACAAGCATAGTCGTTCAACATACCAATGAAAATTAGAAAAAAAATATGAAAGACTGCTAAATGTGACTTATCCAAATGCTAAACCGTAAAACTTAACCAGACACGAACCGAGACTTAACCGAACCGGCCGGTTAACAAGATCATATCTAACAAATCCTGAAATTATTTCATTCCTTCATAAACTCAACTCTACGAACAACAAACGCCGTCCTTCCGTATCTATTTACACAACATGCATACACACACACATACATATATGTGTATGTATGTATAGATTCTTGGTTTTCTTCAGACGTTTTGAGCTGCGGCCAAGAACGCGTTGAAGTCGTCCCTTGCCTTACGAAGCCTCGGAGTAATGCACGAACGAGGCGAAGTCGGACACGAAACCGACGTCGAGAACCGGACGCGGCGAGGCGGCGAAGTCTCCGGCGTCTCCGGAGACCTCCGAGGATGTCGGGACAGAGAACCGCTTGTCTTAAGAACGCCTCTCAGAACCTGATGATCTGTCGATTCTCTCTCGAACAGGAACCCGGAAGTTACTGGATTCTGCACATCTCCTCCTGATTTGGTCATCTCTACTGGGAGATCGAAGAATCTGCCGTGGTCGACTACCAGAGCTGTCGTCGAAGCCCACGACCCGCACTCGAACTTCTCCATTGAAGCACGGTTCGAGATCGTGGTGGAGTTCGTGAACGATGAAGCTCTGATCATCTTCTTCTCCATCGAATCCTCCCGTTTCGATGATTTCACCAGCTTATGTTTTCCGAATCCTGGAAGGGTCACGCAAAATGGGCTGCATTTGAAATTTTCCTCCTCGTAGAGGATTTTCTCGGAGTATCGAGATTTTCTCAGGGAAACCATCGATTCGTGGTGGGTCAGTTTCTTTCTGGGCCTCATCGACTCCGGGAGGATGGGAAGAGGCACGGCGGAGTCTCGCGGCGGAGGCATCGCCGGCGGTAACACTAATCTGAAACTTTCGTCTTTCGCCGATGACGATCGACGGGAGGAGAAGATGGGACCCACGGATTTCTCGCTCTGCAGAATCGCTTGCTTCACCAAGAAATTGTGATTAGGGTTCGGATTTTCTCCGGGATAAACCCTAAAATTTTCGCTCGGAAAAACCCTAAATCCTTGCCGTTCGACATCATTTGGCTTCTGGGTCAAGTGATCCTCGAAGGAGATGATCGCCGGAGAAGACATCAGGGCTGTGATCTGAACCCTAGAAAAAAAAAACTGCCAAAATCTGTAATCGAAGATTTAGGGTTTTCGAATTGAATTCTCAGAGAAGAAAACATGCAGAGTGTAGATTCATATATACAGAGACGAAAGAAGTGGGAAGCACGTCCATGGCGGCATTATAGTAATGACTTGCATGTTTGGTCCTTTTTTTTTTTTTAATTATACAGTGACGGCGCTCAATTACAAACCATGGTATTGCGTGGACCGTTGACTTATAACATATGATAAGTGTGTATTAATGTAATAATGTTTTGAATGATTGTGAAACTTGAAATATTATATTATAGGACAATGATTTTTGTTTGTTGTATCGAGACAATGGGAAATGGTTTGCACGATGGTCGGACAAAATATTGTGCGTGTTCATCTCTAATATATACCTTAATTTATTTATTTAATTATTTGTCTTCTAATCTTGATTTATCCGGTAAATTATAATGTAATCGATATTATTAGTGTTGACTATGGAATCAGCTACATAGAAAATCTTTTTTTTAAAACATTATCAACACAAAATCCGAATCACAATCTGCCTAGCAGCATACATACATACATACATACATACATACATACATACATACATACATACATACATACATACATACATACATACATACATACATACATACATACATACATACATACGTACGTACGTACATACATACATACATACATACATACATACATACATACATACATACATACATACATACGTACGTACGTACGTACATACGTACATACATACATACGTACATACATACGTACATACATACATATTGTTATATGGTTCCACACATAACAATTAATAATAACAGCTCTGTTCCATTTAAAAGAAATATTGTTATATACATGTTATGTCTCGTAGGTATTATATAATGATTAGATCGCGTAACAATAAAGATGTACATTATTTTTTTTTATATTTTTAAACCAATATGATACGTCTTAAAAACAAATTTTAATTTTGTTATCAATTAAACGATAAAAGATAAGAAAAGTGATATAAATGTTATCAGTTCCTTTATACAATTGCATATGATCGCAACCATTAAAATGTTACATTTCATTATCATTTTTTTTATAGAACATAAGTATTGTGGGCCCGTATATACTCATTCAACTTCTTTTTTATAAGCTTAGAATGATTTAAATTATATACTTTTTTCCTAGAGAATATATAAATTTCGATATATTATTCATATTAAAGGTCTACATATAGTGGATGATATCATGGATTTCGTGATTTAACTATCAAAGTTAAAGAGAATATATAGTAGCAAATGTTTTTTTGGTAGATGGCTAATTCAATTAGTAATTCAATAATCGAATCGAATTTGATATAAAAAATAAACAGTCATTCGAATTGAACCTATTTAATAAAAAATAAACGAAAAAATGAGTATGTTTATCAATAAAAAACAAAACGGAACTAAATTTGAATATAAACGAAAGTAATATAAAATCGAATGATTATAATTTTAGTAAAATCGAAATAATTGAACGGAATACATATAATTAAAATCCGAAATTACCAAACCTATTTGTTGCAAGTATATTCAATAATGGGAAGCTGCATCATCGCCAATTAATTAAGCAGTGTCAAAGTTATAATCTTAACTACTTTAAAAAAAATTAAAGTATACTTATCTACTTAATCACATTTTAATCTTCTCACTAATTAATTAATCATCCTCGTCATCATCATTAGAATTGGTGCAATCGGAAAATATATACACACATATATATACATATCAATGCATGAAATCTGTATCTATAAATAGAAAATATATAATAAACCATTATTATTATAAAAAAGATAAGATGATATACATCTACAATCGTTCCGCATAATTTAAATAAATTAAAATATTAGATAATTTATACAATTTAAAGCAATTGTATTCGAAATTCCTAACCAAATATGTTGTTTTCCCCAAATATAAATATAAGACATTCCATAATCACAATAAAGTTGCAACATATAGAAATATACATATTCGGCCAAATTTAGATAACTTCTAAATTAACCAAAAAAAAATGAAAAAAACATACGTAATAAAAAGAAACGAACGTTAGAAAGAGAATACAAATATACACTTTATTTTATAATTATAATTTATCGTAACGCACGTCACAATTACGAAGATATCACACCCTTTCCTCCGCCGCCGCCGCCGCCGCCGCACCAACCTGCCCCATTTCCACCCCTCCGCCGTCATTCTCCGCCGAAAACGTAGCCGGAATATCCTCCTCTTCCTCCTTCACCGTCGTGTAAATCCCATACACGTACGAACAAAACCCCCAAATACAGAGCACCGTCGACACAGCCTTAACGCCGCCAAATTTATCGCCGTAAACAACAACGCCGCCGATAACGTTCACGGCGAGTAACGCCGTCATGCAAATCCCACCGGTGATCCCCGACGTTAAGTACACCATCCCGGCGGTTCCGGCGAAACACAGCTGCCACGTCACCACCGTGGCTCCGATCGCCACCGACCAATAGCAAACCGGTCCTCTTGTGAAAACCCGGTTCGCCTCCTTAACCATCTCTGCAAACCCGCCGTCGAAAACCATACCGACCATCGCGAGAACCGTCGCTGAGATCTCCATCACCAATTGCATCTCCATAACCATGGCGTAACATGAAACGCTCATGTAGAGCTTCTCCACGACCGGGAAGTAGAGCGCGAAGAGTAAACCGGCCCCGATCGTGGAGATGAACCCGATGAAGTACTTAAACCGGGTTAAACCGGCCGGTTTGTCGGAGCTCGAGCCGAGGGCGAGCAGTACGGAACTCAGTGTTAACAGAACAACGCAGTTCAAGTTTGAGAAAGTGATCTTCTGTCTGACGATGAGTACGGACAAGATGAGAGTGAAGATGAGTTGTGTCGAGAGGAGAAGCGAAGATGTCGAGACGGGAAGATACGATGTTCCCCAAGAGAAGAGGAGGTTGTTGAATCCGAGCATGAGGCCGACGGCGACCGAGAATAGGAAGCGGCGGCGCGTGAAGCGCGTGAACGGGCGGCGCGTGAAGAGAGTGGGAAGCAGGAGGTGGGGGACGTAGATGGGGAGGAGGAGGAGAGGGAACCCGGCGGATTGGACCCACGTGGACACCCACCGGCTCGAGCCACCATTGACGAAGTAGAACTTAGCCAGGAGGCTCGATGCGACGGAGCCGGCGAAGAGACAGCCATACGTCGCCGCTAATATCGCCGGAAAACCGCGGCGATGCATCGTCGTCGTGACTATAACCTCTCGTTTCACGTTGATTCCGCCGTTCATTCTTCGAGATTTGCTGTCTCCTTACAGTTTTGTTTTTTGTTGCTTCTATGGGGAATTTGCATGGAGAGAGAGAGAGAGAGGAGATGAATGGATCGTCTGCAAGCTATGATACGTGTGTACAGTGAATCATCCAGTTATGGCAATTTTAATTATGATATTGCACTTAAATATTTTTCCACAAAAGTTTGATGCCGCAAATGGAAAATTTTCAGAAAGACTTTTAAAATTTATTTTAAATTGGAAAATTTACGAGGAATATGTATGTATGTTTTAAAAAAAACCGAGCTTATATATATATATAGTTGTAAACCAACCAATTTATTTTTTTTAATAATCAAGATGGTTTCTCGGACCGAAACATCCACTCTAGACCCGGGATCAGCCTTTGTATATAGAACATTTTAGTGTAGAAATTATATCCCTCTCCACTAATAGAATCGAACCTATGACTTTGGCGTTCGCGTATATACATTATATTTTTAATATATGTAATAAGATATCATAAAAGACACTTTGACTGTAAAATAAAATTTTGACTTTAATTTGTCTTTTAAATATTTTATAATTTCCTCCAATTTTTATTTACTCGTTATATGCTTCACTCTAGTAAGCAGTCCATTTTAGTTCGACCCTCGTCTTCTATCGCAACTTTGAAAAGTAAAAAATTGCAAAAAAAAAAACATTTAATTTGAATTAAAATTGAGTTTGAAGTTCTTAACATAAGGTATATGACTATATATACATATATTTTTCCTCATAATGTTTTTTTTAATTATTCTTGTTTTTTTTTCCATCGATAACAACTGATTAAATAAAAAAATTTGACTTTATTCTCTTTGACATTTGTTTTTTGTTTTTTTGTCGTTGAGAATCATAGGGCTCTCTTGGGCTTCTTACACGTGTCCGTTATCGGTCGCATGCAGTATACGTTTTATTTTTTTGGAAAATAACTCAACTTTCAATTTAAAAATATACTTTAACTTATAAAAAATTTTAGTATAATTCCCAACCAAAATCCTTATGTATTTGATTAAAAAAAACTTGTAAATTCATTTGAATTTTGGTTCAATTCCAAGAGTTTACATATTAATTCGGTACAATTTCAAGAATTGATATATTAATTTGATATATTTTAATTTTTAACATTGTCAAATTAAAAGTTAATATATTTATTTAGCATATTTTTAAAAGTTGAGATAGTTATATGAGAATTTTTCTTCTTTGGAACCAAGGACATTAAATCATGTATTTGAGTTTTGTCAGCTAATACTTCATTTGGATTTATTTAATTAAAAAAAATACAGTGATAATTTATCAGTATTCCCACATAAATATGGATATAAAAATTCTTATTACGGAAATGTTACAATGAGAATTTAGAATTCGGTATGGTAACCATATTAATTAATTCATGTGAATCAATTTAAACAATTCAGACTAATTTTTTATTTTTATTTGATTGAGCAAACGAGCGTAGCGTTAGTAGTAATCTAGATTTGTTTATCCTCTATTTCGCTTCTTAGATAAATTCTATATTGAATTTAGATTATACCGATAAAAATATTATTTTCTAAAAGAAATTAGGTTATTTCTATTGTTTTTTTTTAAAAAATATTGTAAATGGTTCATATACATTAGGATGGGTTTGGTTTGTTTAACCAAGTCGAAATGGTAACCCTAAATCTAAACACAAACGTTTCTTGTTCGATTTTGGTTAGAGTTGTCTATTTCGGGTTTCGATTTGGGTTTGATTCAATTATATTCGGATTCGATTCGGTTATTTCGGTTATAAGAAAACTATAACCATTCGGTTTTTATATAAACTTTGATTTGGCTCGTAAATTTGTTTTTTTTTAAAAAAATTATCGGTTTTTTCGATTAATTTTTGTTCGATTCAGTTTTTTTTGAATTTAAAAGAATTATAATCGTTTTGATTTTTTTATATCGAATTCCATTTTTGCAATGTAATTTCTCTATTTTTACTTTTTTATTTAAAAGTGTTATAATGGGCCCACAAAAAGCCCAATTATACGATATGGGCCGTAAGATATATGGAAAAGCCCTTTCAGACAAGACAACCCTACACTGAAAAAAAAAGGGAGAAAAAAAAGACAGGTTTTCCTCTTCTTCCGCGTCATTGTCTTCTTCTTCTTCTTCTCCTGCGAGTCTGCGACTGTAACTAATCTGTCGGAAAAGCGAGCTTTAGTGTTTCAATCTGCAGCCATGTCCGTACAAGTGAAGGTACTGGTAGCTTTAGTTTTACCCATTACAGTACGGAATATCTTTTTTTTTTTTTATATTTTTTTTGGGTCATTTCTGACTCTGTCTCGGTGTCTCCATCTTGTTTAAGGAATGATGTTTACCATTTGTTTGGATTGTAGGAATATCAGAAATCTTTTCAGAAAAAAAACACACACTAGAATTTTAGAAAGATCATAGGAATTTCCGGCTTTCAGCTTAGATTCTCTTAGAAAGTTGGAACATTTTGATGGAAAATCACAAAGTTTGGCGATGATTTTGTCACCCTTTGGGAACTATATTTGTGTTATGAATTCCCTCAGTATTCAATCGAGCTTCAATGATCTTTTTTGCTTTCTGGGTCAGCGAATTTCTTGCAAAGATTGGTCCTTTTTAGGCCAGTCTGGTGCTGTTTTAGATCATTTGATTGGTTACCAGCTCTCATTGATCCTAATCGAGCTTCAATGGTCTTTTTTGCTTTCTGGGTCAGCGAACTTCTTGCAAAGATTGGTCCTTTTCAGGTCAATCTGGTGCTGTTTTAGATCATTTGATTGGTTACCAGCTCTCATTGATCATAATGGTATATCCCTCAGGAAGAACCTGTGCTTGTGCCAAATTGTGAAGCTGGAAATCTAGAGCTAGCTGTTGTCGATGATGGAAATGGGGAAGGTGATATGGAGAGTTTTGGTAAATCTGTGGATGATATTACCAAGAGGGTGAATCAGGTAACTTTCACTTTTTTTTTCACCCTCGGATCAGAATCCGAAACTCGAATCCGTATCGGTTTTCTGATGATCATTCCTCGACTGCAGCTCGAGCAAAAGGTTGTAGAGGTCGAGCAGTTTTACTCGGACAAAGACTTGGCCCATACAAACACCTCAAAGAGTAACTCGGCCGGGAAGGAAACTGTTAACGCTCAAACAAATCCTTCAAAGGGTAACTCCTCGGCCGGGAAAGAAAAAGTTAAGGGGAAACATGTCTCAAGCCCGGAGCTTATGCGCCAATTCGCATCGATCTTTCGCCAGGCAAGCTGGAAAAAGTTTCTTTCTTTTGAAAGTTGCATAAACTGTTCAAAGATCATTACCGAGTTTTGTGTTTTCTATTCCGGGTTTTGCCAATATTACCAAATTTTCTCCGTGCTTCGAGATCTGAACGTATTGTATTCGTATCTAGCAGATCACTCAACACAAATGGGCATGGCCGTTTATGCAACCCGTAGATGTCGAAGGTCTCAAGCTTCATGATTATTACAAGGTAAATACCCAAAGCATCCATCCATATATATACTATCACTCTGTATGTACTAAAGATGGTTCCTTTACGTTTTTTTTTTCGCGTCGATGCATCGAAAATATAGGTTTTTCCGTTTTTGTATCGGTTAAAGAGTGATGATTAACTGCCAAAACGATTTTCATGACAGGTTATAGAGAAGCCGATGGATTTGGGAACGATAAAAAGCAAGATGGAGGCTAAGGACGGAACAGGGTACAACAATGTCCGAGAGATATATGCCGATGTCAGGCTGGTTTTTAAGAACGCGATGAGATACAACGAGGAGAAAGAGGACGTTCACGTGATGGCGAGAACTTTGCTGGAGAAATTCGAAGATAAATGGCTTCTTATAATGCCTAAACTCGCCGAAGAGGTACACATTAACTGTTTTCTGCATGTTATGATCATCGATTTTCGAATCTGATAACCAAAATCTTTTCGTTCTTTGCGATTTCGATATGGCAAGGAGAAAAAACAAGCCGAGTTGGAGGCAGAGGAACGTGTGAATAAGCAGCTTGCTCAAGAGGTTGAGCACTTGAACATGGCTAAGGATCTGAGCAATGAAGTAAGCAATGCCAATATAAACAAAACCTGTGTATACCCTTTTAAGTTTGGCATTCTGTTTAGATCATGGTCATGGTCATGGTCATGGTCATGGTCATGGTCATGGTCATGGTAATGATGATTCTTTATGTAATCGTGTCCTCTGTTTTAGCTATACGAGATCGATATGCAGCTGGAGGGACTCCGGGAAACAGTTGTTCAGAGATGCAGGTCTCGAAATCTCTTTTCCTTCCCCCCGTGATTTCATTTCTTTGCTCTGTTTCAACGTGACTGACATTTTCCGGGGCCGGTTTAATCTGCCCAGAAAGCTGTCTACTCAAGAAAAGAAGGGTCTTTCGGCAGCTCTATGCAAGCTTTCACCCGAAGATCTGTCCAAAGCTCTGAAAATGGTTTCGGAGAGCAACCCTAGTTTCCCTGCTGGTGCACCGGAAGTGGATCTCGATATCGATGTTCAGGTAAAACCCGAGTCTTTCCTTCTCGTCCATACGCCAAATTTCAAGTCAAGATTCTTGTTTTTTTTTTCCAAAACCCGGTTGCTCTATTTCTTGAACAGAGCGATGTGACGTTGTGGAGACTGAAGGTGTTCGTCCAAGAAGCACTGAAATCTACCAGCAAGAGCTCTGGAGGAACAAACGGTCAAAACAACAACAACAACAACGGCAACAGCAACAACAATGGCGGGGAGGTAACGAAGAGCAATGCGAGAAGAAGGAAAGAGATTTCAGATGCGATCAATAAAGCTTCCATTAAAAGGGCTAAGAAGGTTTGAACATGTTTCGTGTAAAAAACTCTGCCATGAATGCTCAGGAACATGAAACTGAATCAAAGCTTCATCCCAGAGATTTGTGGGATTCAAAGTTTCAAACTTTAGCTACTTAGTAACACAATAAACCCGATTGAGATTTTCCAATTCATGAATCTCGATTCCGAGTTATACGTACATTACACTCAAAATGTTCAAGGTTTCCTGAAACATCCAAACCTATGCATCTAAAAAGAATTGCACTACTCTCATGAAGGAAAACTATATATAGTTGATGAAGGCCAAGATCTTACAAAATCAACTCGGGAGGAAGAACATCAAGAGTTCGAAGAAAGAAACGGTTTATCGGATCTTAGGTTTGAACCAACATGCCTCACTGGTTCGAGTTGGTATGAACATTGTTGAGGCTCTACAATAAAGAAGATGTAAAGTAGGCGTATGATTCTTCCAATTCTCGGTTTTTGGGCATGCAATCAAACTCGAGAACAATGGGTTTAAGCTAGGTTACCAGCCGTTTAAACGATCGTTTGTTCATCGATCTCGTCTTCTCCAACGGCTTAGCTCGATCCAGAGCCTAAAGGAATGAGCACAAAGGGAATGATTCAGATCCAAACTGTGCTAGTAAGAACATTCATCTAAACTCGAAGAACGTATTCTGAAAGGGAAAAGGATAAACCGAGGGAATCATCTCACAACCTGGATAAGAGATTCCACACGCCGCCTCATCCTGGTGTGCATAAATCCCTCCGAGCACTGAGAGAGAGAGAGAGAGATTTGAAGTGGAGTTTTGCATTTACAGAATTTGCTTGCATGGTGAGTAGTTCATGTACGAGATATGCTCAAGAAAATAGACAGAAACCTCACCTTTACATGATAGCTAACATATGCGTGGAAGGTTGATAGGTTCCAAACAGTACGGTCAAGCTTTGTCCCTTCAACGTGTCGAGGAAAAATGACTGCAAAGGTCGTCTTAATCAGATTTCCTTCAACACGAGAACATGAAAAGACAAACCAAATGACAGAAAAATCGGAACAGGAATCATCAAGGCATACCGAAAGATACAAAGCCTGCATTGGCAGACGTCAATTCATTGGGAGCTCCCTCCAGTTCTAGTGGCGGATTTGGAGACCATGAGCAAGAAGGGGCGTTATTAAGCCCGGATGTACGCCTTGCTTCAACGAATTCCTATATTCATACGACAAAGATTTTTTTTAGTAATACACTTCATAAGAGCAAAACCAAAGAGAAACCTGCCTGAAAGATTCACTGTATTTACTCCGATCATTACCTTTAGGAAGGAGGTAGCAAGAATGGTGTCTACAGAGTCTTTAAATCTCATCGGAAACACCACAGCAACCTTATCGGGCTGAGAGAGAAATAATCAGAATCATCTATTAACTTAACTTCTAACCGAAAAGACAGGAGTGACAATGATTTACTGTACTTAAGAATCTATGTGAATAGTCCATCGAAAGTTACAAACTTTGATACCAAATACAAAATTCTGAAATGAAGGGATTTGTGGAATGTCCCTTTTCCTTCGCATATCTAAACTGCTTGCCAGACATCACCCATTATTACCATGTTCTTGTTCTAGAATTAGAACCATTTGGTGATGTTGCAAAACAGCCCTACTTATATACGCATCTGAAAATAAGATCACACTTGTACGTTGATGTGGAAAGCGGGAAATGACAGAGAGATACCTGAGGAACGAGGAAAAACGTTTCATCGGGTCTATGCATGATGGCAACAAGTCCATCTAGCTCGGGAGCGACAGTTCTTGAAGCTAGATTCTTGAGAATGATCTTTAATGGCGCCCCCATCACTACCTCTCTAATGGAAGCAAGGTTGGTCAGAAGAGAGTTTTTGTACTCTGCAGAACATCAGAGTACAAAAATCATTGAATAGATTACTACAAGGCGAATACGAAAATGTGCCAATAGAACGAAATCATATTTCAGAGATAAACAAGAGAAAAGAAAGCATAAAGCACAAAACTTTGAGGAACATAACCATGGAAAACCGGGGAAAAAAATGCCCGACAGAAATCCTTTGAGATTCTTCTAAACTTTCTTTCTTGCGTATACTATGGAAAGCTCATAATGACCTTAAGAAAGGAACTCGTTGAACCTTCATCCGGAGGAAGTTTAGAAAAATTCAGCTTCAAAGTGAGATCGAAACCATCTCTAGGAGGATCAAGAATCTGAACCCCGGTCCCGTAGACAGTCTTTATCGCCTCGATAGCTCCCATCGGAAGCCCGTCAAAGAACATAGCCTCGGGTGGAGGGGTAGGTAGCGACACCGAAAGGAACAAGTGATGAGGGTTTTTCGTGGTCACCTATAAACACTCTATAGATTAGATATTTAGATCTGAACATCCTACGGACAAAATAGAAAACGAATATGCTAATCTTGAAAACCCGAGCACAAGATGACGAAGATTTTACCTGGATGTGGTAACGGACATCATCGAATTCAATCCACTGATAATCTAACTCAACTGCTTTGTCAAGGCTGCATAACAAAAAAATGAAAAACACTGGCGAAGTAAGAGACCACAAATGTATAAAGAATCGAACTTTCTGAAACTTCTTCGATCATTCTTCGAAACCCGGAAACCGGAACCAACGCAAGAGAGTATACACAGCTTTGCACCCATAAATTCAAAAGATTTGCCCATCAGCAAGTTTAGTTCTCGGACAGAAACTCTAGCCATAGGCAATAACGACAATGCCCATCAAATTCATTACAAGAACTGGTAATAACATCATTTCCAGACCACAAACAACTAGAAATTCTTAGAAACCAAATCAAAAGCTGGAAGCAACTTAACCTAAGCCATAATTACCGAACCCGCAGTCCAGATTCTGACAAATGCGAACAGATTGCGAGACTAAATCAACAAATCGCTTTTCCTGGCACATATGAAATTGACTGGAAAAGACGGCATTTAGAAGGATCACTCACTTTTGAACACGATTCAACAAGGTCTGGAGGAGAAACCTCGAATGCGGCTGCAAAAGTATCATCGATTTGTTCCGCCACTGTCGTAAACTCAATCGAATTCAACGAACAGAAAGCTTGTTTCTTTACGAATTCCCAGTGGACAAGAAACCCTAAAATTTCAGAATTCGTCACTGTGTTCGCGCACGTGATCTGATCGGAGCGGAGGAGCCTCGTCCGAAGACAGCGAAACCAGCGGAAGACGACGAGATTCCCTGACTCCCCTTTGAACGTTTCTTCGTATTTTTTAATCATAATTTGGTACCCAATACTTGTATAGATTTATAATTCTTTCCCATAATTACAATAGTATTTCATTTGAACCCCAACTAAATCGAAAGTATCAACTGAAACCCTAACGCGCATCGGGCATACTAGCTTTGACAAAGCGATGGATCGTCATTGTATATTCGGTAGTTTTATTTGTAGATGAGCACTTCGTAAGTCTAGAAATGTAAGATTGATGAATATGTGTATATATATAGCGGCAAATTTAAAGAAATATAAGATTGATGAATATGTGTATATATATAACGGCGGATTTAAAGACGTATATCATTAGAAGTAAATTTATTTTTATAATAAATATCTTTAAATTTATATAACTATTTCATATTATTTTTTAAAATTTTACATAATTTGAATAAAAAATAATTTTTTTACTGATTGAATGAGGTATATACTCCATATCGATCCACCACTGTATATATATACATATATGTTATATATATGATTGCATATCATAAATTTATATTTTTTTCTCTATTATTTTTCTCTAGTATTATTTCAAGAATCTAGAATGATATATACCTGCATCAAGCTCCTACGTATGATATGGGATCATTGTGATATGTGATCATTATTTTGTACTATTTTGATAATTCATAAACTAATAGCGTAAAAACCCAAAAACAGAAAATTATGGGGCAAGAATGAGATTTCTCCTTTTTGCCCTTTCTCTTCTTCACCAAAACGGCGACGTTTCATATCTGTGCCGTCAAACGCTAAACAACATACTTCCAAATCCGGTCGTCAAAGGGGAAGAAGTACAATGGCAGAAACCGTAAATAAAGACGGAATATAAGGGCAATATCGTAAAAAGTCGATCGTACGGTTTGCGATATGGAAATCTTCTTCTTAATCCACCGATTCCGAGAATACTGCTGCGTTCGTTTCGGTTGGCGGGTGTTCTCTAACTTCCTCGTTTTCTCAGAAACTGCTTCTTTAATCTCTTGTCTGATTTGGTAAATTTTGGGATTAATTGGGTAATTAAGTGATTAATCATCCGTTTAAACAGGGTGATTAGGAATAAAACAGATTCAGAGAGGAATATGAAACACTTCCTCACACGTCTTCTTTCCCCCAATCTCTCTGAATCTCAGCCGTTCGTTTTGGTAACTCATCTCTTCCCTTTTTGTATTCTTTAATATAAAAAACAATTATCAATTTATTTATTTATTTATTTTTTATCCTTGGTGTCGATGATGATGAGGTTTCCTTTTCCTGGTTAAGTTGGGTTTTTAATTTTTATTTTTATTTTTATTTTTTGGGTTTCTCTTATTTTTACCAGGTCAATTTGATACGTTTCTTTTGAATTCTACGATTTGGGTATTTTTGTTTTTAATGCGAATTCAATTTCTGGGCAGATTCTGAGAAAAAAGGAAAGATTTTTGGCTTTTGGGTCGTTCCTGTTAGGTATAAATCTGCAAACTTTAATCTCTGTCAATCTTTGCTTTCGTCTGATCCTTGCGTTTGTGGCTCCTGTTGTGGTTGGGAATTCTATTAGGGTTAGGATTTCTGAGTTTTTCCTTACTCGGATTGGGTTTGTTTTTTTTGTTCTTTTTAATATTTACCCATTTCATCGTTAGGTTTTATAAATTAGGGTTCGTGATATCGGTTTCTTCTTTGTTGGGTTTTCTCAGTTCTTAGGTACCCGTTGATTTGGGTTTTCTGATTGGGAGTGATTGCGAATCGATGGAACATTCCAAAGTTTCTCCATCTGAATCTCAGGGCAAAGAGGTTAGATTTCGATTTCGATTTCTGATATCTCGTCTTTTGCTTCTTCTAAATGTGATTCCATTCCGTTAATCACGTAATTATAGGAAACGATTCTACGTATTTTCGCCAGCTTATATTGCTGTAGATTCGTTCATACGATCCGTCGTCATCTGTTTGATTGATCGATCTTAAGTTCAGACGAGTTATGCGTTTGATTTTGGCAAATACCTGATCAAAGATCTGCAGTCCAATTGATTCGCTGATGCTGATCCTTGATCGGGTTTGTATCGATTTCGTCACGGAAATCTTTCGTTACGCGAATTTGTTCGGGTAAAAAACGTAGAATACAATGAAGAACATGAATCTGATTCACCATGTTCAAAAGCTTGCTCTTTGTTCGTCTTCCTGATTTCTTAATCTGGTTTACTGTTTCTGGATCTTCCTACAGTCTCTTAGAGAGAGATACATGAACTGATAATGTCTGTTTTTTTTAATTGCAGGATATGTCTCAAAATCATCCACCTGACAAGGAAACTAACCTAGAAACCCCTTCTAGTCCACGCCATCGGAAGGTAAACGACGAACTAGTTCTTCGGTTTTTTCGACCTCGTTTCCATTACGAGACACGAAAAAGAAAAATTGGGTCTTACGTTTACATATATGTTGTATATTTCAGGTTGTTGCTAGATGGGATCCTGCTG